CATGAGGTCCCTTGACCGTTGAGATAGCCAAGGTTGCATGGCGACTTTGCGAGAATTCTTCTTAATCTGGCCGCTTCCGTGGTTTCCTCAATACCCTTGCAGTAACTTCGCCAGGATTTACGTTTCGAAGTTCTCACTGATTTTTTGTATATTTTCAGATCAGCCTTGTAGGCTTCCCAATCCTCTGTTGCTCTCGTGGCTTTGGCCTTATTGAACATTGCTGGATTTTCGTAACAAGGATAATTGTTTCGACCACCAAGGTGGTTTGTTTTTTCCCATGTATCGAGCAACCGGGCATCCGGCTGACAAAGAACTATTCATGGCTTTAGTAACCTGATTAACCAACCCATCCAGCTCCACCTGCGTGGCGGGGTCTCGGGGAGGTATCTTTGGCAGTAAAGTCCTTAATTTATTGTTGTAAACTCCCCAGACCGTATTTCTAACATTTCTGAACTCCCTTACTTGGGGGGTCTTAAGATCTATTTCGAATTCAATATAACGATGGTCAGAATAAGATTTTTCATTCAGTACTCTCCATCTCTTGATTTTATGGGCAAACATGTCTGAAGCCAGGGTTATGTCCAAAACTTCCTCTCTACTCTTTGTTATAAAGGTCGCCTCTGAGCCGAAATACAAGACACTAAGTTTGTTCCCTAGAATGCAGTCTAGTAACGACTCACCTCTCGCATTCGTGTCCGTACTCCCCCACATCAAGTTGTGGGCATTAGCGTCGCAGGAGACAACCAGTGGCTTATTCTTGAAGGCTGCTTCCACGGACAAGGACCGAAACCCATCTGGTGGCACGTCCTTGTCATGGGCCATGTACGNCCTCTGAGCCGAAATACAAGACACTAAGTTTGTTCCCTAGAATGCAGTCTAGTAACGACTCACCTCTCGCATTCGTGTCCGTACTCCCCCACATCAAGTTGTGGGCATTAGCGTCGCAGGAGACAACCAGTGGCTTATTCTTGAAGGCTGCTTCCACGGACAAGGACCGAAACCCATCTGGTGGCACGTCCTTGTCATGGGCCATGTACGCAGAGGCTACCCAAAAGCTGGCTTTGTCCAGCTTGCCGCTACCAGATCGCCGTCACTAAGCTGTGGAATCAGGAATATGTTTAAGTTCTTCCTTGCTAATATGCAAGCTCTAGTCTTACCTGCATTTTTTGAGGCAATAAGCTTAAAGCCCTTCATCCCATGCCCGCAGATTTTATTGCCGTGTATCCACGGTTCCTGGATGAGGGCAACTGAGGGAAAATCGTACGTGTCCCACCCGTGACAAATTTCGAATTGTTTAATAATAAATAACTAATGGTTTTTAAAGTTTGTGCTTTGTTAGGATTGCTGGTTCTTTTCTGTACAGTAAAACATCTAATTCAGATAGAAATGTTAAGTAAATTCACAGACCCTCCGTAAAATATATGTTCTCCAAAAAGCATTGTATTTTCTTTGTCTTACCCGTGACAGAAGAAAGAGCTCAGAATTTTCCCATATAAAATCAAGTTGGAATATTTTTCGTTTTTGGTAATAACTCGTATATTAGTGAACTAGTAGTGAACTAGCTTTATCGAAATGTAGAATTCCTTAGGCCTTTATACTTAAATTTAAAAAAGAAAAACTATTTTTGCTGTACAAGTCCAGTGATCGGACATTGTGGTAGATCTGCCATTTTTTTGAGCATCTACCACATCTACCACACAAGGTCTGAAATCTACCACATATTCGCGTTTTTGAGTAGTTTTAGTTAATTTTAAGAGAAAAAATTGTCCAACACTAAACACTAACAACAGGCAAAATGTGAGGATAAAATAAAGTGTAAAATAGTAAATTTCCTCAATATTCAATTTTTCGACAGGAAACGTGGTTTTATTGTGTTAAATTGCAAAATATATGATTTATAAAAAGAATTTACAGCGAAAATGGTAAAAACGGCGATTTTTGTGAAAGTATAAGCAAACTTCAATGCATCTAAAGTTTCTAAAGCGTTCTTTACTCTTACTTGAGAATTTTCAAAATCGGCAAATCCGAAGTAGCGGTTTCTGGAACATGCCACATTTGTTCGCTTCATCGTGATGTGATAAAAAGGAAAGCTGGCAGCACTCCGCAAGGTTGCAGAAATCTTTCGAAATATGTTCGAGAAATATCTTGATATGGAAGGAACTCCTTAAAACTGTCAAGGAAAAAAATTGCTAAAACTCAACACAATTTTTAGCAAATTCAATCGTGCACTTTATTATACTATAATTAATTTTTTTATATTCTCATAAAAATGTTTGCAATTTAGGTGAAACCTTGCAGAATATTTTTAATTTTTGTACAAAGTTTGATCCAAAACCTGAGATCTACCACATTTTTTTGAAATCTACCACATCTTTTTCCACATTATACCACACAAATTTATTTTTAAGTCCGATCACTGCAAATGTCCCATCCGTGACGATGGAGTACCCGAAAAAGTAAAAAAATAAGACACTTACATATAGTATTTATACATATACAGCAGGGTTGTTGCGAATATTCGCATTCGCATTCCGCAACCGCGGAGCTTCCGCATTAATTTTAACATTCGCATTCGCTTTCCCATTCGCAAAAATCAATGCGGATCTTTTGCGAATGCGAATATTGAAGGGACCGAAAATTGCACACTGAAAAAAGGATTAGTTTCGACAACTAAAGATATTTAGTTCCCGAATTTTGACAATATTTGGGAACTGTTACCAAGGATTGGGAACTATTACAATGGGTTGGTAATTATAACTAAATATATTAAAGCTTCTAATATTCATCTAGGTTGTAACAAATCGTTCATTTAGTTGAAGGGTTTGGTTAATACTAATAAATATTTCTTTGAAGCATATTTTTACAAATTCCATTCAACTTAACGTATGGTTCATAAAAGGATGTTATTAAGCTCTGCTAATGCAGATAAGCTTTCTTTCAACACATGGTTTAGTCGTAGTTACCAAATCTTAGTTGAGGCAACCACGATTTGGTTTGAAAGTGGAACATATTCATGCTTGTGAGCCACCCCTAAAGAATGCTGCGCGCTCTCTGAGCACATGTGTGTTTCACATACGAAGAGCGCAAGCTGAGCAATGCACACAGTCCCACTTAATGGGCCTGAGCACACTAGCCTGCTCAGTCCGACTGAGAAGTCCACCACTCGAACGCACACTGGACTGGGCAGTCGGCCGAAAACAGGTTTCAGTTTTGTATACATGAACTACGCATGATTGTGTTAGTGCATGTGGCACATGCAAAAAAAATTTACAACATGTTGTCTATGTGTGCGTGTCAGTCCACCGTCAATCCGCGATTTTCGCGGACTGAAATGAGCTAGGTAAACTCGAACTCTCTTCCCCCTCTTATCCACACAAAACCCGTTTTAGGCGGACTGAGCAGTCCAGTGTGCGGAGGCCCATTGAATCGTTTGAATGGGCTAGAATGCCGACCATTGAATTGTGCGTTGAAATCGTTGCTCCGCTGCCGCTGTTCGTATATGGGTGAAACACGCATGTGGTCCCAGAGCGCTCAGTAAGCTATAGCATATCGATCGCTGCGCTAGGTAGAGAAAGAAAAGTGTGTGCTATGCAGAGTGTCAAGATTTGGCGATTTTTGTTGGATATTTGCGCGTAAAAATTTAGGAAATCGCCATTGGCGATTTTTTTCCCTTCAAATAAATTTTTGTGAATTATAAAAATATACAAAACTTAGTTTTCCACGATAATTTTACAGAAGAGGCTAATAAACTGCGTGATAAACTTGACTTAACAATCATATTAAAAGACTGTCAAAAATCTTAGATCACCCTAATCGAAGAACTTTTGAAACGATTACCTAGTCAATTAAATTCTTTCAAAAAAGCTTGATTTTGTCACTCGAAAAGTGCGTAAATCACGAGATGGCGAGTTTCAGGGACCTGCCAATTCACTAATTTTGAAGGAAAGAAAAGCAGCGGACTCTGCAGAATTTTGGATAATTGCTTACGGAGTGAAAACCGCAACAGGNCTTAGATCACCCTAATCGAAGAACTTTTGAAACGATTACCTAGTCAATTAAATTCTTTCAAAAAAGCTTGATTTTGTCACTCGAAAAGTGCGTAAATCACGAGATGGCGAGTTTCAGGGACCTGCCAATTCACTAATTTTGAAGGAAAGAAAAGCAGCGGACTCTGCAGAATTTTGGATAATTGCTTACGGAGTGAAAACCGCAACAGGCAATAAAATGTTTGGAAATATGAGTAAATTCATTTTATTATCCTTGCCGCACTCACACGCTTTGTTGAGCGCGTTTTTTTCCGTAATGAATTCAACAAAAACTAAGATTCGAAATAGGATAGGAATAATTAATATGAGTTATAATAAATTTAATAATTGCACAGTCCTATTGCAAAATGTGTTAAAACAAATATTTTTTAAAAGTATGCGTATTTTTAAAGAAAATTGTTTGTACATCACTATTATATACGTGATTTGTGTTATTTATTATTAACCCTTAATTAGGCGCATAAAGAAAATCACACAATTAGTCACATGGGGTCCCCAGTGACCCCAATAAAAGTATTGAAAAAAGAGTTTTCAAAATAAAAAAAAAGGAAGTGTGTATTAACAAAAATATTAAAGTACTCTATTATCGTTAACTTAAAAAAGAAAAACATACTTTCAACTTCAAACTTAAAAAAAAAAAATTAAAACTTACTGACACGTTTGCACGCTTCGACATCCACTTAACAACTTATCTTTATTCGTTACGTTTTGTTAGCCATTACATATATGTATACTTATACCATACGTTATGTTCTTAGTTAAGGTACAAGAGTTGCCATACATAAGGAATATACGTTTAAGTGGAAACATAGAATACACGTAAGCGCTAATACATATCACTACCTCCCTTTTTTTTTTTACCTCGAATGTAAGTTACGCTTACATTTAATACATATAAAATTAATATAACTAATAATTCTCATAAACAATATAATCTTATGGTTTAACTTGTATTTAGTTTTCACATACTCTACGCTTTAGTCGCTCTGAGCGTCTAACAATGAATTCATCAGGATCCCGTTTACGTTTATTCGTTACTTGATGTTCGTCTTCCTTATCCTGTTCAGGTCGTATGAAAATATCAACCTCATCTATCAAATCAACTTTTTCCTTACTTTTTCGTTTTCGAAGTTGTGAAACATGTGCGTTCCTATAAACGCCTTCTGCAACTATACTATACATTACGTTACCCATTTTCTCTCTTACAATACCGGGTATCCATTTATACTTCAAATTAGTTTTAAGTTTGTACAACACTTTATCCCCCTTTTCAAAAAATGGTTTCTGTTTTGTTTCTTTAACATCCATAGCCAAAACCGTTCCGTTTTCTCTACTTATCTCACCGTTCCCTCGTATGCTTGGATTTATGTCATCTATTAATGTTTTAGGTTTAAGTCTAAAAATCATTTCATTTGGAGAAAGTCTATTCCTTGTCGTGGGAGTTGAACGGTAGTTCAACAAAAATCTAGACAGTAGCAAGGTTAATGGTAGGGTTTTAATTTTATTATCATCCAACGACTTTCGTAACCCATTTTTGACTGTTTGAACTGCACGCTCAGCAGCGCCGTTAGACTGGGGGTGATACGGCGGACTTTTAAGGCATTTAATGGAATTCGATGTACAAAAATCTGTAAATTCTGCCGAATTGAATGGTGGGCCGTTATCAGATACGATCGTGTTTGGTAATCCGAAGTATGAAAATATTCTTCGCAATTCAAGGATTAAAGCCCCTGCGCTAGTTATTTTCATATCCTTTACATCAATCCACTGACTAAACGCATCGACTACAATTAAAAAGTTAGTATTCTGAAAGTTAAAAAAATCAAGATGTATACGCTCAAAAAATCGATTAGCTTCCGGCCAGGACTGATGATGGTTGGAAATGGGTTTCGTGTGAGAATACTCGCAAGTTTTACAATTAGATATAAAATTTTGAATATCTGCATCCATACCTGGCCACCAAAAGTAAATTTTTGCTAAAGATTTTGTCCTCACAATACCAGTATGAGTCTCGTGTAATGCTTCAAGAATCCCCTCACGCAACTTTTCCGGGACAACCAACCTTTGGCCAAAATATATGCAACCGTTATCTTCATTAAGATCTAGTCTCCTAACAAAATAAGGTTTTAAAACTTCAGTTACTGTTTGGGGCCACCCATTTCTTATCATTTCTAACACGTTCCTGAGTTTCCAGTCGTTCCTAGTTTCTTCCTCGAGATCGTTGTATTTTATTTTATTAGTTGGAAGATCCCGAATATAATTAACGTATTCTTCTTCGCATCCTGTTCCACCATCTATAGGGAGCCGTGACAAGGCATCTGCGTTAGTCATTTCGGACGCGCTTTTGTATACAATTTTGTATTGATACATACTTAATAGTACTGCCCACCGGCACAACCTACCTGCAGCTACAGGGGAAATTTTTCTACTTGCACCAAATATTTCACGCAACGGTTGATGATCGGTGTATATCGTAAACAATTTCCCGTATATATATTTATGGGACTTCATTACAGTAAAGATTATCGCAAGAGCCTCTCTATGAAGTTGAGAATAGTTTTGTTCTGCTGGACTTAAGGTGCTTGATACGAACATAACAGGCCTCTCGACTCCTTCATGTACTTGCGACAAAATACCTGCAACTCCATAAGGACTAGCATCGCAATGAAGGTAGCATTCTTTACGGGGATCAAAATGAGCTAATAAGTATTTATTCAGAAGTAAAGTTTTGCTTTTTTTAAATGCTTCTTGGCACTTTTCATCCCAATCGAATTTAATATTTTTCTTAGTGAGGTTATACAGACTATGAAGTTCTGCTGAAAGATTCGGTATGAAGTGAGAATAATAATTCAATAACCCCAAAAACGACTTAAGTTGAGTTAAATTCTTCGGATTAGGTGCTTCTAAAATAGCCCTTATTTTTTCTTCACTGGGTTTTATACCCTCCGCGCAAATTGTATGGCCTAAATAGTCTATGCTACTTTTGAAAAACGAACATTTTGTTTTATTAACCCGAACCCTATGTTCTTCTAAACGTTGTAAAACTTCCCGAAGTTGTCGTTCGCATTCTTGTTTACTTTTCCCTCCAATAATTATATCATCCAAATAACATTTAACATTAGATATTCCCTTAAGAATCTCGTCCATTATAGATCGGAAAATAGCGGGGGCACATTTGATCCCAAATATTAACCGCTTAAATCTGAATAGCCCTTTATGTGTGTTGATTGTCAAAAATTCTTGACATACTTGTTCCACTTCAACCTGCTGATATGCACCCTGAAGGTCTAAAACACAGAAAATAGAACAATTAGCAAATGAAGCCAAAATATCGTCACATCGAGGCAATGGATAGTGATCTGTGCGCACGAATCTATTTATTGTCGCTTTGCAATCTACGCATATACGAATACCACCATCACCTTTTTGTACAACTACGACAGGAGATGCCCAGTTGCTGTAACGAACGGGATATATGACGTCATCGCGAACTAATTGTGTAAGTTCCTCTTCAACTTTTTCTCGCAACCCGAATGGCAATGTGTAGGCTTTGCAAAAAACAGGTGTTATGTTCTCACTTACAATAATACGAGCCTTAAACCCTTTAATGCTGTCTGATCTTCTACCGTTGAAAACCTTAGGAAAATCCGCACTCAATTGGTATTCAGAGCTTTCAACCTTGGCGCACAGCGTTGGGGACTCAAAACTTTGTCTCCAAGATGGAAATAAAACATCCAACCACGATCTTCCTAATAACGGCACAAACACCTTTTTGCAGTCTACCACGAGAAGTTTTAACGTTTGTACATTGCCTTTTCCAGAAATTTTCACCGCGACCCGAGCGCACCCCAAAACCACAATGTTCTCACCCGAAATAACATGTAAACTTTTCGTACATTCTGTTAATCTAACATTTGACAACTTTGACATGTAAGTGTTTACGTGGATAAGTGATGCACACGAACCTTTGTCTATTTCCATTTTTAGGGGCACTGAATTACACATAACACTTCAATATCTAGGAGTATTCTCTAAATCCACTGCATTAACACCTATATTGTTTATACAAGCATCTTCATCCATGTCATTAAATACCATATTAACTTTTTTGTTTCTATTATAATTAAAGTTGGCCCCCGATTTTCTAGAATATTGCGAATTATTTCTTAAAAAACAATACTTCTGAGTATGGCCATATTGATAATAATAACATTTAACATTCGACAAACTGTTCCGTTTTCGCTGCTCACGTATAAAGTGTAAAATAGTAAATTTCGATTTCCATCGTTGCTGAATTTCTTGATAGCGTTGACTTCCGAACTTGACGGGCACATGTTTTGAAGTTCCTGCTGTAGCATTTCCATTTTCAGAGCTGTATCACACGCGCTTTCAAAAGTTAGGTTATCTTGATCTATTAGCTTTGATTGCGTCTTTTTGCAGCGAATCCCCATCAACAGCCGATCTTTTAATGCGTCGTTAACATTGCTTCCATATTTACATGTTATCGCCAGTTCTTTTATAGCAATAATGAAGTCTCCAATAGATTCCTCCACGTTTTGAGTTCTATTTAAGAATTTAAACCGCTCTGCTGTCGTATTGATTTTCTTTGTGAAATGACGAGTCAAAGTATCGACCACTTTAGTATAAGTAAGTTCTTCAATTTTCTGAGGCGATACAAGTGTTTTCAAAGTTTTGTGTAACTCAGCACCACCGACACTTATTAGAAATGAGATCTTTTCGCCATCAAGCACGAGTTTATTGAGCTTTAAAAGGTGTTCAATACGCTCAATGTAACAATCAAAATTTTCACCGCTACTATATTGCTCAATACGACCTACGAATGCAGTCATTTTGTAAAGCACGTGGACTTTTTCTTTTGTCTTAATTTATAAATTTATTTATTTTTTTTCACTCGTCGCCAATTGACACGTTCGCACGCTTCGACATCCACTTAACAACTTATCTTTATTCGTTACGTTTTGTTAGCCATTACATATATGTATACTTATACCATACGTTATGTTCTTAGTTAAGGTACAAGAGTTGCCATACATAAGGAATATACGTTTAAGTGGAAACATAGAATACACGTAAGCGCTAATACATATCATTTACTACCGCGAAAAAAATTTACATGCACGCTCCAAGCACTCCAAGACATTTTTTTTCCAACTTGAAATGACCTTGACCCCATGCCATAATTAAGAGTTAAATGTATTATATTCGTTTTTGGTTTTAAAAACTTTATTATAACAAGATCTCATTTTTAAAATAAACGATTTGTTAAATCGATTTCATGAATTTTATTTAAAAAAAAACTGGCGATTTTTTTTCCAGAAATTGCGCTTTTTTGAAACAATCTGGACACTCTGGTGCTATGACATGTACAGAATTGTTTGTCTCAGTTTCAGTTTTGCCATCGCCGCGAGTTGTTTCGGTGTGCGCATAGTTATTTAAAAATATAAAGTTTGATGCCATCCGGGGTTTCTCAGTGGATATATAATTAATGTGAATTATAATTTGAAAGTATCTATTTAGCCAAAGAAAAAGCAAGGCAGTATACTTAAACCAGCTCTTCCAGCAGATATTAACCTGGGTTTTCGCACGACTGTTCCCGTTTCATCGTTGTTTTTTAGGAAATTTTTACCACCATATACATATGTATTATTTACTTTAGTAACTAACTTATGTAAATATGTACGTATTTTTTATGCTTAATATATGCAAATAAAAGAATAAAGTAAACACAACAAACATAGAGTAAATTTTTGTTTGCGTTAAACTGAAACTTTTTTTCCAATAATAAACGGTTAGCAGATTCAAGTCTACAGCAAGTTCACAAAATTAATTGAAAACTTGTATCAACCAAAGCATTGTTTATATTTGCTCAACAATGATTTTATTCAACTAACAATATTGTCCAATCAAGGTGGTCGTTTTGTAATTATTAACAAATATACATTTGTCCTAACTAGAAGTCTTAAGTAAATTGCAGACTTTCGTGAACTATATATTTATTTCGCCATATCCAACTATGCCACTTGATCACTATAACCAAATCTTGGTTATTATAACTAAACCTTTTTCTGGGTGCAGTTATTTTTTTACGAGTTAAACTTGGCCAAATATTTTTTATTCCGAAATAAAAGTACTTTCCCAAGGCATATTGAACGGGTAGTATCAGTAGAGCAGCTGATTTGATTTTTATTTCTATTTTTTCAAATTATTTGGTCTCGAAAATGTAAAATTTTTCAAAAATTTTATCACACAAATTCTAAATTGTTAAAATCTATTTGCATGTGAAACCTTTTTCCATACAAAACAAGCGATTGAATAACAGCTTTTGGAACGTTCGCCCAACTCAGCAGCACAAGCGCTGATAACTGGGCGTTGCAAAGGATGGATCAATGCTTCGAGAAGCAAACAAATTTACTAAGAAAGAAAGTTGCAAAAATTTTTTATTTTTTTACCAATTTAAATTTTTTTATTTCACATGGCGTGCTTTGATTTAGAAGAAACAAATCAGAACAGTTTTTGACACTTTCGATACCAGAAGCAACAACAAAATACAAGCAAATATTGTTTTTGCTCTAATGCTACTACCTGTTTGATATACCTTGTACTTTCCGGATAATAAACAAACCGCTTATCCAAATTAAACAAGTTTGGTATCCTACGAAAGAGGACTTAAATAGCTTTAAAACTGAAATGTCTAAAAGAAGAAAGCCAGACATTCAAAAATATTTCAATAAAAAATGTTAATTAATTACCATAGAACAAACATTTCATTAGTATTAAGTTATAAAAAATTTTAAATAGAGGTTGTAACCTTCATTCATTATTTCTAAAAGCTATTTCAGTCCTCTTTCATATGATACCAAATTTGTTTAATTTGGATAAGCGGTTTCTTTGTTATCCGGATAGGACGTTTATTTAGGAATAAAAAATATTAGGCCAAATTTTACTCTGAAAAAATAACTGTTAATTTCGGTCCTTGGAATATTGTGCAAGTGCACAGACGTATATCTAACCAGTCACAAAAGAAATCATTAAAAATGAGTTACAAAAATTAAAATCGAAAAACGCTGATGACGTGACAAATTCCGAAACAACCAAAAGAATGAAAATGAAGAATTCTTTCAAAAAAAAAAACGGTGTTTAAACAACGATTGTGCCATAATGCTAGATTGTGAAGATGAACGTCAGGAGGATACATCCGACATTTGCAGCCCCGATGAAATTCTCAAAAAATAATTATTGCACCGCAATAAAAATAAATAAATATAACTGAAAGTCCTCTCAACTGGTGCAGTGTCAATCGAAAAGAATTTACAATTTTGCCAAATTCAGGTTTTTCAAGTCGCCTCGAGCGAGTAGTTATATCGTCGCTGGAATATTGAAGTAGTGTAACATGAAAAGTATTGCTTTAAGAAAAACGAATTGGAAGTTTTTATAAACCATTACAAACCATACAAATACAATTTCGTTTTTCGGGAATAAATATCTAAGAATTAGATATTTAAGAAAACTAAAGATTTTGTAATAGATTAAAGGATTGTCTATCCAATGGTGCAATTATCGAATAATAGAGTATGTGGCATTTACACTGTTTCTGTATTCGAGCCACGATATAGTGGCGCAGGTTTGATTTACGACCCTTCAAAAAGTTCTTATTAATTACAATGTTCCAATTTTTAAATTCAAATACTAAAAAAACATTCAGTCTTATCATGAGTTTAATTTTCCCCGAACCGATTCACTTTCCACTTTTGGTTTTCATGTACATATTTACTATGGGCGGAATACAAATTTTCGGGTGAATTTTTTTTCGGGCAAAACTCAGGATTAGGCAGATTATTAAAAATTATTAACCTTTCCATTTTTTATTTACCTAAATCACCTAATTTACCCACCTAAATTATTTCTTAGAACTACATGACATCCGCATTCGCATCCGCGGATGTCTAAAATTTCACATTCGCAACATCCCTAATATACACATGTGTGTAGTAAGATTACCCACCAAACAATTTGCGTTGCCGGCAATAAGAAAACGTGTCGCCCTCGGAAACAAATTTATTGCCGGTAATATTGCCATCGAATCGATTTCCTATTACCGGTAGCTCTAAAACGTACGCCGAAGGCAACACGCCTGGGCGAGTCGTTTTCTTATTACCTGAATGAGTCCTTTTCTTATCGCTTCAGGCGATATTTGGAATAATTTTATTCTTTTTAATACTTCATTTATTTTTTTGTATACCAAATCGCAACTTACAATCGGAAATAATTAATTTTCTCGCTGTGAGGCTTCCTATTTCTTCAATCTTGCCCTTGGGCATAATTTAGATGCTTTTGGCCAATACTATTGACGCCATATTCATATGTTTCGGAATTTTTGAGAACTTTTTTATTCAAAATTGACATGAACGAAGTGATGTTGCCGATTTGTCACCACAGCAATAAATCGGTGAGTCGCCAATTTGTTTCCATTGACGATTGTTGCCTATTCCTCATATTTTGCATGGTGGGTAGTATGCCACAACATATACATTTGAAATACTCGTAGCATTATAGCAGTTGATGGGATAGACTGCTAATTCGTCCCCCGGGATAAGCATAAGTATGCCATTTCGCTCGCGGTGCTGCAACAGTAGTAATGACCGATAGAGCACTGCTCTGGCGCGCAGTTAGAGAGATTTGAGTTCAAATCGCAGACAAAGGCTTTAATTTTTTATGGTACAGTATATTTTGCTTAGCTGCACATCCTTCTTTGCACGAAAAACTTGTGCACGTAACCGAAAAAGGCACTTAAGCGAATTTTCTTTACTACTTCAATGAGGATGGTATCCGAATCCCTATGAAACCAAATATTGGCGGAGCACTTACCATGTAGAAATTACTGCAAGCGAAATTTTTACCGAATGTTATCTAATTATCTATATAACTACATAAATTGATAGCCATTTTCGTTGTTCTGCGAGATGAGCAAAATAAATAAAAGGTTATAAAATTAGGTAATTGTAGGGCTAGTGCAGATCATTGATAATTGATACCAGTCGCACAATTTTTAAGGCAGGTATCGCCAATGTGCAGGTATGTTGAATGCATCTATCGGAGCAGTTTCCTTATAAATGTTAAAAATAATGCTTTTGATGCGCATTTTGGGGTAGGTATCTTAAATGTGCACTTAAGCATAGAGGCAGCAAAGCAAAATATACTGTATTTGTATATTTAGGTAGGTTTTTTCTAAATGAAATAAAATTTACAATTTCTAGTTTATATTTATGGGTGGATTATTGATAGCCAGCGAGCTTCAGTTGCCTTGCTAGTTGCCGAAACGATATTACAGATGGCAACTGGCAACTTTCAACTGACAACTGCTGTTGCTACAAAGTGTGTATACGGGCAATTACATTTATGTGGTTGCTGGGAAGGTTTGTGGAGCGTATTTAGGAGCGAAAATTGAAAAGTATGTCATATATTTCGCTTTTTAATATTTTTAACGATATTAACATTTTGCAATGCAGTTTGCTTATAATATGATGAAAATAACAAAACAATAACTTGAAATTTTAGTTCTCCTGGAGTGCGCCCTTTTGGCGAAACAAAAGCGAACACTGATTGCAATTTTTTTCCTTTATCAAGTGAAGCACCTCTTTTGAAACTTCCGACAGACCAAGTTTTCCAAATTGAAGTCATTTCTGGGGCACTTCGTTATGCGAAAAACCGAAGAGGTGCGCGAGCTTTTAGGAGTGGAGGTATTGAAGTTGAAGGAAGTGGTTCATCTGTTTATTAACCAATTATACTACAGCTTCTTTTGGAAGTCCTGAACATGCTTTGAAAGTAATAA